TTTGTTTGGAAAAATATATGTGAAGCTTTTTATCCTGAAATATATTCAAAATGTTTCCTATATTAACTTGATTATAAAAGTCTTTTTTATTAAGATAGCCTTTCCATGTCTTCACAACCTTGAATCTACTAAAACTCAATATAATAGTTATAAGTTCTAAGTAGAAGTGCCATTATAACCTAAGTGTAAAAAACATCTTTACTATCAATTATTGATTTACTAGGTACCAAATAATTTTTCTTGATTAATGATTAAAATTTGATTTGTCCTTTGTTTTAAAATGTAAACCATTTTATCACCTTTAAGTCAAACAAAAGACATCTGTACTAAGTTTTTTTATTTTATTAATTGTAAATATGTAGTTAGTTCTGTAATTTAGTTATTAGTGGCTAAAGTACTGAATAACAGAACAAATTCATCAGTTAACTAGAATATTTTTTCCCTCCATTTTGTATTGTTTATAATTTGTTCTGGTAAAATACTTTTTTAATCAAGACATTGTTTGTTAGTATTTAATAATGTATGTGAATTCTCAACAGATATGCTTGAGCATTCCATCCTTTATTTTATATCAGTGAAACAAATTTGAAAAATAGCTCTTGGCTTTGGTATCAGCAAGATTTCATTTCACCCTAATGAACATATTCATATACCATTTGTGAGAATATCTTCCTATTACCAAATGTAAAAGAAATTTCCTGTAGCGAAGATTAAAATCCAATTTCAAAGATTTGAAAACGAAAATACTTTAAAAATTATTGTACCATGTTTAATATTTTTACTAGCTTAATATATTAGCTATAAATAATCCTAATAATAGTAGTTTTATGATATATAAATTACGATTTAGCGTATTCTTAGATTTACAAAAACACTTTAATCTGGAATTAGTTAAAATATTAGGTACTCAATGTTAAGTAGAAATATCTTATATAGTGAAAATAAATAATGGGGAAGTTTCTTTGAGTAGAGAAAACTTGTATTAAATAGTTAAGATTCAAAGACTAATTTGTTTCAATGCTTTTTATTCTAAAAATTCAACCTAATTGTAGTGATACGCGTTAAAATTACTGTGCAATTTTGTATATTGGCTAAAATATATATGTAAAATTTAACCTATAACACGTAAATTAAAATGTGTTGCACTGGGATCAGCAGACGGCATAATGGTTACATCATCGTACCCACAGTTCGAGTCTCAGACCCATTAGTTTAAATCTCATGCCCTGCGCATGTGTTTGTGACCAAGATCTCAAGAGGACAATGGAAGAGAAGGGATTGCAGCACAGCCATCACCCTTCTCACTTTCTGTCTCTGTCTCTCTCTGCATCTCTGATGAGTGTATGTGCTCTATAGCAAAAATCTCTCCAAAAAAAGTATTCCACTTTAATGATTTGCTACATTAATGCAGCAAAAGGAGGATGTAATATTCATTCATGATAAACATAATTTCTTATAGTATTATGAGAGTAAAGGTTATTATAGCTTTACCATTTCTTTAAGTTTAGCAAAAATACGTATTTGTTCTATATTTATTGAGTTGCTGGAAACGTCATGATGTGTTTATCTGTTTTTGCATGCAAAAATGTTTTGAGACTTTTCCAGCCATATCATATTTCAAATGTGTTATTTTTATTAAGAATCTAATTATTTGTACTATTTGGTACTTTTTATAAGTGGAATTCTATCCATGTTTGATATTTTGTGCCTGTAATAATATTCTAATTAGGAAAAAGGATAATTTAATGTGAGATCAATATATTCTTCATAATTCTGTGCTACTTTGAAATTTAAGAAGCCTTTAGTTCAGATTCAAAAATTACTTGGGTATGTGTTTATTTCTTCAGTTCCTGAAGTGGAAAGTTGGTGGACTTTATGGTCATTGAATGTAGCTTATCAAACATGGAATAGTTCAAGGCTACAAGGGACTGTATTGCCATGACAGTTCTAGTCTTTAGTATGTTTCTTGAAATGAACATGTGGAATAATTTGCTCACAGTTACTCTAAAGCCATATATGTAAAATTTTGCTTTTTATTTATTTTCTTCTTAATTTTCATTTTAAATGACAATTAACAATGAAAAATGGTATAGCAAGTATCTAGTAGCATTTTGCATTCATGAAAAAAGTCTTCCTTACCAGAAAAGTAACATAAAGAAATTTTTAGAATGGGGAAAAACTTATTAAAATAAGACATAGGATCTAAAAAGACATAGTTGAAAACTTTAAATATTCAACATATGAAATTAGCATTTATGCTGAAAAACACCCCTGAGTCAGAAAATAACCGAAATATTTGCAGAGCATATTATAAGCACAGAGCTAACTTCCTTTGTATATAAAGAACATTATCAATGAGAAAAGATTGATAACATATTAGAAAAATGGACAAACAACTTTTATAAACAGTTCTTAGAAAAGATACAGAACATTTAAATATAGAAAAGGATACCTAACTTCACTCATAATTTTAAAATACATTCTTAAAACTGTAGTAAATTACTAGTTTTAACCTGACAGATTGACAGTTCTATGTGGTATAAAAATGTCAATAACAGCAATAAACAAGATATAATCTTCAATTTCTCATGATGCAGTCATGATGAATAATTTTTATTACATTTATAAAATGGATTTAGACACACTTATAAATTGGAAAATTACGGCAATGATTGCTTTTGAAATGGGAACTGAAGGATTGTGAGCCTTAATTAAGGACTTAATTTTTACATTTTATTCTGTAGGTTTGATTTTTCTTTATGTTCATGGATTGTTTAAACATATAAAACAAGTTTGAAGTAATAAAACTATTAAATCTGTTTAGTAAAACATGAGCATGTTGGAGTTATAAAGATGGGTAAAATATTGTCCCTATTATCAAAAAGTAGCAAGACTTACGAATTGTTTTTAAGAGATTCTTGCTATAGGGTGCATATGCTTGCCAGAGAAAGACAGAAAGTGAGAAATCACTTCCCTGGGGGGAAGGCCATATCGCAATCCCTTCTTTATTCTCCTCTCAGGAACTTGGGTACCCACACACATGGGCCGGCATGAGTTTTAAGATGCCAGGTCTGAGACTACATCTGTGGTCTACTACATGCGAGTCTATCAATGTAACCATTACACCATCGCTGGTCCCAGACATACCAATTGTTAAATCAGCTAAAACTTGGTGTTTTTAATACTCTATTAGCAATGGGTCCAGACAGGATGTGTATCACTTTGCAGGTCTAAGAGTCGGACACATGCTATAAGCTAATTGATATTCGTAAAAACCTAATAAATAAATAGAGCCCAAATATCTAGAGTAAAAAAAAAAAAAAAAAAACCAACAACAACAGATAAGTGTGTTTTATATATTTACTCATTTAATGGTCCCATCAGCCTTAGAAAGTGGGCGCCAGTATCACCCCCTGTTTTTACAAAGGACATTACATTTCTCAAGATACTCAAAGCTTAAGGATCCTCATTCATCATAGATAAATTATTCTGCTCAAACTTTACTCAGTAGTTTGAATTTATCTCCATTTTTCAAATTAGCAACAGAATATTCTGAGGTTAAACAGTTAGTTCACGATTAATACTATGGTACTCTTGTACCACATTACCTATGATCAGTAGGAGTACCCCAAGGAGAGGAGCACAGGAAGAGACATTTCGATAGTGCTCCCTGTCATGATAAGTACCAGTGCAAATCAGAGTGTGTGGTTTCTCTAAGAAAACAATTGCAGTAAAAGAACTTACTTCCTTTGTGCAAAGATTTCCTCTATTCAGGTAGTAGAGAATAATCTGTTTTGCCCAGTAATTTTGATATGATTTCTTAAGAAATTTTCAAGATCATTAGATTAAAAAAAAAAAACCCTCATATTCATTTAGAGCTTGCTCTTATTTTATGACAAAACATTGTCAGCAATCTAGAAGGAAGGCTATGCTAACAGAATTCCAGCTTTCTGTGGGATGATCCAAAAACAGCAAACAGAAGGCATTAAGTTTCTTAACAGTCGCAAGTGTGTACATGCGTGCTATGCCGTTCCTGTCATTAGCTGCTTTTTGGTTTGCTGTTGGAGTTAGAATACCTTGATTTATAGAGTTGTATGTTCCATAGAGATTTTTTTTTTCACATAGACAAAAAAAAAAAAGAAAGAAAGAAAGAAAGAAAGAAAGAAGAAAGAAAGAAAGAAGAAAGAAAGAAAGAAGAAAGAAAGAAAGAAGAAAGAAAGAAAGAAGAAAGAAAGAAAGAAGAAAGAAAGAAAGAAGAAAGAAAGAAAGAAGAAAGAAAGAAAGAAGAAAGAAAGAAAGAAGAAAGAAAGAAAGAAGAAAGAAAGAAAGAAGAAAGAAAGAAAGAAAAAGAAAAAGAGGAGGCCAACTTAGCAGCATGTAGAGCCTGTTCATTCTTCCCTGCATTTATACAGCTCACCTGAACATATGAATTTAGTCTGATTTTAGTACATTTGCCTTAACAGTGCGCCTTCTTACATCAAAGATATTTGCTGGATTAAGAGCCTGAATTGTTTTTCTTGCTCTGTCCAGAAGCAGGTTGACACAAGTACTCTGATGTGAAATAGAGAATATGAAATGTATATCATGATGGTTAAATTGAAAGCAGGCATGGCTCAGTGGGTTAAGCAATATTTAATCTTGTCTTTTCCATAATCCTGTGTCAGTCTTGGTAGCCTTAGTGACAAACTCAAAAGCCAATGCTAAAATTATTTGAAGACTTGCTTAAGAAGTAAATAATGAGTTAGAGAAGTAAATACATCCAGAAACAAAGAGACATTCTGTTTAACTAGAGCTTTCTTGAGTCATCTTCATTTTTATGCTATAGCTTCACCAAAGTATCATAGAGTATGGTAGATATTAGCATGGCATATGTGATGGTCTGTGTTTTATTTAATAGATCATTTCTGCCCATTTAATAGATTGGCAGTGGGTGGAAAAGAGATGTAGGTGAAAACACATACCATGTATTTAAGATTTCTTTTCTTCTTTTTAAATTACAGCAAATTCAGTAAAGCTAGAAATGCAGAGTGATGAAGAGTGTGACAGGAAACCCCTGAGCCGTGAAGATGAGATCAGGGGCCATGATGAGGGTAGCAGCCTAGAAGAACCCCTACTTGAGAGCAGCGAGGTGGCTGACAACAGGAAAGTCCAGGAGCTTCAAGGCGAGGGAGGAATCCGGCTTCCGAATGGTAAACTGAAATGTGACGTCTGTGGCATGGTTTGCATTGGGCCCAATGTGCTTATGGTACATAAAAGGAGTCACACTGGTAAGCAGCTGAAAGAATAACCTGATGACTGCCTGTGACATCTGATGTTGATATTACCTGACATCTATTCTCTTTCCTTTTTATTCAGGGGTGGCAATGGTGAAACTACCTTTTCAGAATTCCGCTAGTATTGGATTGCTGAAAAGCAGAGAGTAGCCTGGGTCTTGACTTCCAGCCTTCAAATCTGAATAGCATATCAGAAAAGAAGTTTGGGATTCAGTTTCCACAGTTCTTAATATAGCAATAATATGATAAGGGTTCAAAAGGTATAGGAGAATTTCATTGTGTAACTTAATCTTTTTATATTCCTATACATATTTTTTTCCATACCCATGGGCAACTAATATAGTTTGCTTACCAATAGTTTATACTACAAAATGGCACTCATGCATTTATATAAGGGTGAATCATTCTCACTTTATTCAGTTAACTCCTTGGAATATAATTTCCGGTCAGTCTCTTCCTACCTCAGGTCCCTGTAGAAGATAGGTACTTTCTGTAGTTCAGAGGTATTACCATCCCCTGTAATTTTTAGTGCAACTCCTGCAGGGAGATGTGCAAGGTCACATATAACAAAGGATAGGGTAAGGAAAAACCCTCAGATTAATTTAATATGTACTTACAGATATGAGAGATGGAAAGTCCTTTACAAAAACCAACCTAGTGAGGAGAGACCTTATTTGAATTGTCTCCAAATTCTTTGCTAAATTAAAAACAAAGCAAAATGACAACAAAACAAAACAAACCAGAAATGAGATAGGAAGATCAAGGACTCTTTTTTTCTTTAAAAATTATTTTATTGAACTTTATTTATTTTAATTTGACCAGAGAGGAACAGAGAGAGAGAGAGACACCAGGTCTGGGACTTGAACCACGGTTGGCCATGTGGGAGTCCAGCACCCTTAACTATGCCACCTGCTGGCCTCGATCATTGATGCTTTAAAAATGTTTAATTTCATGTAAAAAATTTTTAAAGGTAATAGTAGCTTTCACTAAAATATAGAGTTATATAGTAAACTATTAATATTCTCAGTGTTTAAAAATGTAATATTCTTTTGGGGAGAGATAAATTAGAATAATTAAGTTTTCCTTCTAAATAATCAGTTTAAGAATTAGGTGCTTAAAACGTGAGAGGTATAGGGACCAGCAGATGGTGCAGTGGTTAAGTTGCTGGACTCCCACATAGAGGACTGTGGTTCAAGTCCCAGACTTGGCAGCTTAAAACTCATGCCAGGCATGTGTGCCCAAGATCCTGAGAAAAAAATAGATGAGAAGGGATTGTGGTGTGGCCATACCCCCTGTTGGGTGATTTCTCGCTTTCTGTCTCTCTGTCTATCTGGTGAGTGCATGTTCCCTATAGCAAAAATCTGTCTTAAAAAACAAACAAAAACATGAGAGATACCAGGTACATTGAAGTACAAACCTCTTATTTCACACATTAAGGAACAGTCAAGTAATTAGTTCATTATTCCTTACCAAAGCATTGCTGAGGCTAAAACCCAGGTTTCCTGGTTTTGTTTTAATAGAGCATGCTTGATATATCACTATACCATCAATTTATTGAGAGATATAGCTGTAAGCATAGGGTGATATTTTAAAAGTTATGGTGAGAAGTTGCACGTTAAAGTTAGTGTTACCAAAATTACCACCTTTAAAGCATAAACACTTATTCTAGCCATTGAGTCAGTTGCAGTTTTTTTTTTTCTGTTTGTTTTGTTTTGGATTTCTTTTCAGACTACACCATGTTTTAAATATATTTATATGGCTAGTATTTTTTTTTCTCTTCAGTTTAAAAAATTTCTCAAAAGTTAAAAAAATCAAGTTTGGTATCCATTTGATAAGAAATATAAAGAAATGACTATAAAAGAATGAATCTCCTCTTTGTCTCTACTTAATGTAATTCTAACTAAAGTTTTAAAAAAAATATCAATTCCACAAAGTTCAACATCTTCTTTTATGTCAAAGTGATCATATAGAGAAAACATTCATTCAAATATGTAACTTTACCTATTTAGCAAAATGCAAGCTAACTAAACCAATCTAATGACTTTTCAGTGGAATTGCATTTTGTATAATTTAAAAACTGGAAAGTATACCAAAAATAATTTTTGAAAGCTTTTTTTTTTTTTTTTTTTTTTGCAATAGGGCGCTTGCGTACACTAGAAAGACAGAAAGAGACAGAAAGTGAGAAATCACGCCCCGGAGGGGATGGCCACACTGCAATCCCTCCTCCTCTATTCTCCTCTAGGAATCTTGAGCTCGTACACACAGGATCCTGGAGTGTTTAAGTCACCGGATCCAGGACTCAAATGGCCGTCAACTACATGGGAGTCCAGCAACATAACCATTATGCTAACCGCTGGTCCCGGAAGCTTTTTAATAAACCTTTTATGTTCTAAGTTAAGAAAATTCACAGAACCAGCATACATTGTCTTGAATGTGTAGGTTAATCAGTGTTTCACTGTATCTGAAGTGAAATGAAGATTGTTAGATTTAAATGCAATAATAATCGCATTTCTACTCTATTGTCTATTTGATATGTACTAGTGTGGCAAATTGAATTATTTTCATTCTAAAAATGATCAAATTAGCCTGAGAAATGCTTACAGAGCTCACAGATCTTAGGAATAGGAAACACACTCAACTAGTAAAGGTGAGAAGAAAGGACTAAGCAACTATGTAAAGTATAGTTGGCCACACTATTAACTTTTAAAAAAAAACAAACTGTATTCGAGAATTGTAAAAAATGATCTTGTTTTATTCAGATCCATGAGAATTTTGTTAAAGGTAATAGCCATGTAGGCTATTACCCTATTAGTCAGGACCTTGGAATACATACCATGCTGTGCGAATATGATTTCTCTATATTAGCTATATTCATACGTATTTCTAGTGACCCGGTTTATATATCTGAGTGGGTTTTAACATTTTCAGTTCTGCTTTGCTACTATTTGAGAAGAGAAGGGCTATTTGTGTTTTTTTAAAGTAGATTGAGAAAAATGTAGCCAGAATCTAGTCATTAACCAAATGTTTTCTTTTTAAATATACTGAAGTACTGTCTTCATTTAGCAACTTCCTATTCTTGTCAATTATTTATAGTTAATATAAAAGGCACCAGTTTAAATCTTTATAAAGCCTTTAGGGAACACATTTTATAGTGTTTTTTTTTTTTAATTGTAGACTAAGTAAAATTGATGGTGTAAAAAGGTATACAACTACCCAATTCATTACAGTGACATGGAGTATCATTTAATTCACTTCTCTTCTTTCTCTTTCATACTCTACTAAAGTGTCAATTCCAGTGTCTTGTTAATGACTTGGCGTTATTTCTGTGGTATTGCTACTTTAGTAAATAATCAGGTAATATTGTCATCGGATACTCCAGGCATTCTTCACTGGAAATGCAGGGAGAAAGCAACAAACAGGGATAGTCAGTTCATGAATGAGCATGAGTTGATGAGAACATTATAAATATGGAATATCTTTAAATTTGCCATTCTTTGGAACAGAGTAGTATCCTTATAACTAAGTTTATAGAAACATATTTTATACATCACAGCTTTATGAAGTCATTCTTTTGCCCCAAGTTCCTCTAACAAATGCTTAGGACTTTGTATATTTGTAGGTGGTTGTTCCACCCAACACAGGAGCATCCTCTATCCTCTGCTTTTGATTCAACAAAGCAAACTGATATATACACATTTTCATGTCAATTTAATATTTAAACATGGATATAAAAATGTGTTTATGAGGGACCAGCAGGTGGCATGGTGGTTAAGGGTGCTGGATTCCCACATGGCTGGCCATGGTTCAAGTCCCGGACCCGGCAGCTTGCTGTCTCACTTTCTTTCTCTCTTTCTCTCTTTCCCACTCTGTCCCTCTCTGGTCAAATTTAAATAAGTAAGTAAATAAATGGATAAATAAAGTTAAATAAAATAATTTTTAAAAATGTGTTTATGAAAGTATATAAATGTTGAAATATCATTTATTCTATAATTAAATAAAATGTAATGTCATTCTGTGAATAACTAAAATTGGACCAGTGTATTTGTAAACTGGATTTAAAATAAAACAAACAGATTAAGAATGGACATGAAGGGGACCAGCAGATGGCGTAATCATTACATCACTGCACTCCTATGTAGTCAACCACCGTTCAAGTCCTGGATCCGGTGGCTTAAAGCTCACAGCAGGCTCATGTGTGTGTGTGTGTGTGCCCAAGATCCTGAAAGGAGAATGGAGAAGGGACTGTAGCGTGGCTATCTCCCCTGGGGAGGGTAATTTCTCACTTTCTGTCTCTATCTCTCTGGCTAGCGCATGCGCCCTATAGCAAAAATCTCTCTACACACACATACACACACAAAAAAAAAAAAAAAAAGAAAGAAAGAAAGAAAGAAGGAGAAGAATGGACATAAAAGATACCATGAGCACATCTTAGTTTCTCTTGGGTTCAGAGCAGTCAGTCCAAACTTTCATGCTCACTAGAAGGAAGAGTAGCTAATACAGATACAACCTCCTTATATTTTTTAATCAAATTATTCTACATTATTAATATAGTTAGTAAATTTGTTGGGATTTCTCAAATTTATTTTGGTTTATATGTGGAGAACATTTATTTTCTTTTCAGACAAAGTCTATAAACTGACTCAAAAAGGACTAGTTGATTTAGTTTATTTTGTTTAAAGAACAGATTATTAAAAAGAAATCATTGAAATGTGTTTTAAGTTGCATAGACAATAAAGGTAGTTAACAGAATCAAATACTTAATTACATATCTCTGTAATGTCTAGGCCAGGAAATATCCCACGACATTGAATAAAATAATTACTGATGTTTATAAAAATGGCCTCTGAAAAAATTGATTTAATTCACTTATTATTAATATGTTTATATATGAATATGACTCCTCTGTTCAGTTTACTACTGAAATATAACTATGTATACTATGTATCCCGGGAAAAAAAGTCTCCTAAGTTACTCTCTGTTTTCTACCTGTCTCCAATGGTAGCAGTATGAGATTTTTACTATAATTCAGCTTTTCTTAGTGTGGAACACAATAAAATGACTGGATTGTTGAAATGAAAACTATCATTTCATATACTCAAGACATTAAGAATGGCTAAGCAGATTTCACCCTAAATGAGGAAAGTCACAGACCTTAGTAGCTAAAGGTTATATCATCAGGACTTGTTCTTAATTTAAATCAGTAGGTCTGAAAGCTTTATCTGGTTGAATAAAAGTGTATTGCTGTCAGTGCCCCTTCTTTTCTTATCAAAATAAAAAGAGCAGGTGCCGTCATCATCCTTGTTTTTTGCTTCCCATAGCCATTGGAACTTACTAAAGTCTCCATACTAAGAGTCATGTACTTAGCAACACGGACATCTCTAGACTACCGTTTTTTTTTTTTTTTTTTTTTTTTCCCATCTCCTTTGAGAATGATCATAAAAATTTAGTTTCTTAGTAAAAAAAACCTAGAAGATATATGGAGTATTTTGTAAATGTGAAAACTAAATTAATCTGTCATTAGTCTAATAAAACTCAGGTGAATTAAGAAAAAGGATCTTACCTATTTTTTTCTCTTTTAGGTTAGTGTTATTTTGAATAGTGTATTAACTAGTCTAAATTAGGGATGTTTAAAAATTTCAACTCAAAGGTTATAGGAAGTTTAAGGAAAATCTAATTCATCATGCTACAGGAGTCTTCTGCAAAGGCAAAACATAATTTCAATTTTTTTTTTGTTCACCATACTCACTAATTTAATTCCTTTTTAAAGTTACTGCATTCCAATTTGTTATTTCCCTGGGATACATTACATAGAGAGAGATACCAATAGCAAAATCAAATATTTGAAATGAAAAATTAACTTATATTTACTCTTTTTTTTTAAAAAAAAAGTTAATTTGTGAAGGAAGTACCTCTGTCTTTCTATTTATTCCTAATTCCATGGCAGAGTAGGGAATTTAAAATCTGACTTTAAAAAGTTATTCCATTGAAGAGGAATTGCAATGCATTTTTTTTTTCCGGCCTAATGTATCAATGTAAGATGTATTGTAAACTTAGCTCATAAGAGCTCCAGATCTCTTTAGAAAAAAAAAAAAATTAATCCCTACCACACACACAGGTTTTCTTTGGACTGTACCTCTTTAGTTCCAAAAAGCGTAAGCACTACAGAATACAGATACTCCTGCTATATCAATTTTTCAATTTCTTTAGGTTTATGACAGATCTTTATGATAGAATTTGTAGTGACTACTGCCAGAAAATTTCAATTTAATTTTCTTTGTACTTCCTAGTTTCCTTTAATAAAAGGATCATTGAGTTTGCATTATATCAAGGGACCAAAAAGTATATTGATATTTTAGTCACTAGCATTATGAATTTTTCAAGTTTATTCATTTTTTTTCCATGGTAGGGAAGCACCCCAGCAGCTTCCCTGTGTTATGATCCACTCCAGTGATCAGCCAGCCCAGACGTGCCCAGAAGTGTACACACCATTGGTGTGCTCAGGGAGGTCTCAGGACATGAACCCAGGACTTTTCCCATGTGGATACTGTAGCATTGCCACTGTACCACCACCAGGCACTCTATGAATATTTCAGTTAGAGATGTATGAAACCTAACTATTGACTGTCATTTTTTTGAAAAACTATTAAAATGATATTAATCATCTAACTTAAGTACAGAAGCGGCTGAGTTCAATGAAAAGGAATTGTTTCTTTTTAAAAGAATTGCCAGGAGCAGGTTTGCTTTCTAGACACAGAGAGAAAGGGAGAGAGAAAAGCACCCATCAGTAGAGAGTGGCCATACCATAGTCTCATCTCCTCCAATTTTTCATCCTATTGAGATGTGGGGCACAAACACAAATATGCCCAGCTTGTCTTTTAAGCTACTGGGGTCAAGATTTGAACCATGGTTGGACATATGAGATCCAGTTCCCTTACCTATTAGGTGATTAGGCTAGCCAGAGAATTGTTTTATAATTTTTATTTTCTTCTAACTTTTGATCTTTAGTATGATACTTTTTTACTATTTAATTATATGTTAATTTATAATTTATTTCATGTCTGTCTTAAGAGAGTGACAAGCCTAAAACTGTAGGAATTCCTTTATCCGTGATAATGTCATCAGTTCGATCCTACTTTCCAGTTTTACTGCTTCATCACTTCCATGGTTTTATGTTTGGTGACACTAGTGACAGCCAGCTGATGACAACATAGAGAACTGATGATTTAGACTTAGCTAACTACATAGAAATGTCAATAATAGAAAGGAGGAAAAGGTTTCTATCAAGGAAATAATTTTCACAAAATTAAAAGAATAGACAAGGAATGGCTGGATGAATAATTTTCTTTAGATGTGTCCTGATATACCAGGAATTTTCACCAAATGTTTCACTATTAACGACCAAGAGTGAAGGGAGCTGGTCTGCATTTAGAGTCCTTATGGTATTACTTGCTTGTAAGCAAGTTCGGTCACTGAACCTTTTTAGTCCCATTTCCTACTCAGGTAAAATTAGAGAGTTAGTCTAAAGGTCCCTTTCAATGTGAAATTTCTGTAAATCTTAAAGAGATAGCATGGTTACAAAGCAAAACCAAAAATAAGATTTGTAGTCAAACTGACCAGGTTCAGTTCTCAGCTACAGTGCTTAGTATGCCATGACTGTAATCAGATATTTTGATACATGGCTTCAATTTCTTCATTCGTAAATTGAAATTAATAATGCATAATTAATAATTTTCATTAATTAACTCTTTTGTGAGGATTGAAATACTGTATGATAAGTAACCAATAAGACAAGGCAATAACGAGGTAGCGGCTATCAATAGTTCAACCAGTGTTAAATGCTGTTATTCTTTTGAGTAAATGATAGGGCCTTGTCAAATTTATATGAAGAAGTGAAATGGCCACTTGATCTTAAGCTGGAGACTTTAGTATTAGCAAAACAAACTGGGAGAGTAAATGTTTAGTAGATTTTGGAGGGAGATGAGTGTTCTTAGCATAGAGAACTGGCTCTGGGTAACAGCAAATGGCAAATTCTTACATATACCCTACCTGATTTCTCGTTTCTTCTCCTTTCTGCAGGTGAACGCCCCTTTCACTGTAACCAGTGTGGAGCTTCTTTTACTCAGAAGGGAAACCTTCTGAGACACATAAAGTTACACTCTGGAGAGAAGCCGTTCAAATGTCCATTCTGTAGCTACGCCTGTAGAAGAAGGGACGCCCTCACAGGACACCTCAGGACCCATTCTGGTAAGTCACCACATCTTTGAGAAGAAAGCTAAAATACGAAAATTCAGAAGAGTGCTATAGAATCATTCTAGGTAACTTAAGGCTTTGTTGTGTAGCTAGAAATGATCTAGAAAGTATTTTTGGTTGTGTACATTAAATTGATAAATCTATCAGGATGCCCATGATCCTTCTTTTTTAGAATTATAAAGTTGGCAAAAAGTAATGTTATGAGAGTATCTTATTTCAAAATGTTGAAATAAAAATAAAGTTGTATAAATTTCCTTTGATTTTTAAATGTTATGGTTAATGCAGTAATTACAGTTAATCCTGGATTAATAATTGAAGATGTAGTGAATTATCAGTTACATTCTGACGTTACTATGGAAGACACGAAAGCTGTGATATTTTTTGACTGATGTAGTGCTTTGGCTGGGACCTCAGTGAGAAATCAAATATTGTTATTTTTTAACCTGCATACATTATATTCATTAGAAATTGTCTATTGGAGTAGCTTTTATTACATTTTAATTCTCCTTGTGTCTTTAGCTCTCAAGCTATAGTTAATGAAATCTATGTGAAACTTATTTCTGCTGCATAAATCATTAAAAATTTAGAATGCAGGTCCATCAGGTGGTGTGGTAGCTCAAGTGCTAGATTCCTACATGGCTGATCATCATTCAAGTGTCTGCCTGGCAACTTGAAAATCACACCAGGGACATGTGTGTCATGTGTGCGTGTGCCCCAAATCCTGAGAGAAGAGTGGAAAAGGGATTGTGGCATGGCCATCCTGCATCAGGGATGATTTCTCATTTTCCCTCTCTGCCTCTAGCGACCATATGCACCCTATGGCAAAAATCTTTTTAAAAAATCTAGAATGCTTTATTTTTTAGAAAATACCAGAATAAAATACATTAGAGAGAAAGAACGATCAGAAATCTGAATTAAATCTCATTAGAGTTTTAGCATGAATTAAAATAAACAACAAGTTAAAGGTGAATAACTAATACAGACTATTCTCAAGCCAGTTTTATATGCTCCTTCTGTCCATAATGACATAGTAAATTTTAACTTTAATATGACAGTATGATAGAAGTGATATTTGCATCCACATTGACAAACTGTATTACAGAGTGTTGGAGATTATGAGGCAATGCTTGTATTATCTTTTGTACATTTTTCTGTTATTCCTTAAGGTTGTTCTTAGTTTTTAGACATGAACATGAATTACATAAAGCCATTTTAAACATTAAGTCTTAAATTTGGAGTAGTGACAAAAATTAAATTAATGTGAACATTAAAACAAAATATATTTACTTTCTTTCCTGACTCTTAAGTAATTCACTTATTTCTGGGACATTATATGTTTTATTTTAGAATGGTAATATGAAAATTATATTTTAAAGTATCATTTTATTACAAAAAGTATTCTTGCCATAGGGCGGGCACCACCACACCCGAAAGTATTCTTTGTTAAAAGATTTTTTTAAGACATGACAAGTATTTCCCTTAGCTCACCATGTACTCAGGCTTATTGAAGCATTATTGAGTTCTCCAAGGATTATATGACACATAGATTTTCATGAACATATATTTTTGCTTCAACGTCATACAATAGATAACTTTAAACATTTATTTAATTCTTTAAAAAAATCATGTTAACTTTTAATATCATGGCTTAGCACACACATTAGTTTATGTCTCTTCCTAAATAAAAACATAGCCCTTATCACTGATGTTGTACAGATTTTGAAGTTTAGTATATCAAGTCATAGTTTTTGCAGATGCATAAACTACATACTCCTTATTTTCTGGACTTTGGTGAAAATATTCTTTCCTTGAGAACTGAGATCCCCAAAGGTACCAGTTCCAGAGGTTTGGGACAGAGAGGAAAATTCCTTCAAATGGGTTGTATGATGAATTAGAGTGACCGTTTTACCTTAACCTCTATGTTCTCAGACTCATGCATTCTGGCAATGGAGGACATGACTTTGAGCATACATTCATAACCTGTAGGATGCAACCAGACTTTTCCAGCTGACACGCATACATGAACTATTCTATTGGTAGGCCATTTAACCACACCAGTTTAGCCACCGGTCTTGAATGATGAGGCCCGAGGTATGATTGGTGAATTCTGTATGTTTGAGCTTATTATATTTTCTTTGCCATTAAAGTGAGTTTTCTGGTCGAAGGCAACTTGCAAGGAATAACAAGTATTAGGTTATTGGGAAAGTCAGGACACACTTTTCTGTTCAAAAATGTGCCATGACTTTCCTGATGACACTATACTTGGTAAGACATTCTGTTAAATCTGTGTATGAGGAGATTGTAAATATTGCTGGGCAAGGGAAGGCAAGTCTATATTCTGAATATCTTTTGTTCCTATGAGGGTAAATTTGTGCCATCCCCATGTAGGAAGGAGTCTAATGTTATCTACCTGTCAGTTGATTGGTTGATCTCCACAGGGAATATTGTCATATCAGGGTCTCAGCATTGGAAAATTGTGAGCTTAGCAGTGGTGGTAGTTAAATCAGTTATAGAGAAGAGGAAGTCTATGTAGTTGAACCCATATACAGTTTCTATCCTTGTTCATATGATCACTTATACATGGACTCATGAGCATATACCAGGGTAGCCATGTACAGGATCTGACTGACATTCATAAGACAGGTTACCTTGTCCAGATTACCACGAGACTTCACTATAGTGGATATCTCTAGAGAAAATTCATACAGGATACCATATTCTCATATATTTTACCAATTCTCAAAGGTATATTAATATAAATTTACTTTAGACTTTTGGTCATCAGTCTTCCAGTTTTGTTCTTCAAAGCCTTTGGCCACATGGCCATACCATGTATCATTGCCTCAACTATCTCTTCATTCCATGCTTAGTGTCATTGAATGTACTAGCTGAATGCTTGAGGCTATCTCTTCACCTCTGTATCTCAGGGCCCGCCCTATTAAATGGACTTAGAAACACAGTAGTCACAACTGGTACCAGATACCCTGCAATCCACCTACAAACTAGATCCACACTATTTCATCCTTCACTAATTGGTCATTAAGAACACTCCATAAGGCCATAGATGTGGGGTGAAGGGGACAGATTGTGAAACATTAGTATCAAAGTATCAGAGACACCCGAGCTACTTGCCATCCCAAACCTGCTTGGTCCCATGTTCATTTAACAATAAAATGCTTATTTCAACAACACATCTTATTTTAGGATATGTTGTATATATGATATGATATATTATAGATGACACCAGTTCATGATGCACAGTTTAAACCACATTGTCATTTGAAGCCCCATGGCCTAATACTCAGTCTTAACTGGAGTCCAGTAGAAGGTAGGAGCTACTTTACAAATGGAGAATAGTTATTAGTAGATAACTGCCTTTACAACAAAACTATCAGGGATCTGCAGTCTGAGGCTTCCATCGACAGAAACATCATACAATAGCATCTGTTTGCTGTAGATATTTCCAGAAAAATTATTGCACCTGCCAAATCTTTATGCTAAAAGTATAGGACAGCTTTCATCATTGCAAGGTATTCAGATTTTCCTTGTCCCAGGCTTTTCTCAGAATTGGCAGCCTTGAGGATTACCTAGTACATGCATCAGAGAAGCATACCGAAAATGCAAAGAAGCAGGGCCAAGAGGTGGCATGTTGGTTAAGGTGCTGGATTTCCACATGGCTGATTATGGTTCGAGTCCCAGACTCAGAGGCTTAAAAACCATGCTGGGAGCATGTGTGTTCATTTCCGAAATCCTAGGAGGAGAATGTGAGAGAACGAATTGTGTGTGGATTTCCCCTGTGGATTGATTTCCCATTGTCTCTCCCTGCCTTCTCCAGCCTACACACATACCCTAAACAAAAAATTTTAAAAAAATTAAAATCTAAAAAAGCAAAGGAGGCCACCATGTTTTGTGCCTTCTTTGTGTGTGTGTGTGTGTGTGTGTGTGTGTGTGTGTGTGTATGCGCGCGCGTGTGTGATAGAAGGTACGAGGTACAAGATGCAGCAATTTGTCATTAACCATATAGGATCTATTTAGCATGCCCAGACATTGAGCCCATAAAATTTCACCAATGCTGGAAGTCCCTGAACTTCCATAGAACTTACCTTTTATCCTTTAGCATATGTCTTACTGACGTATCTTTAGTGTTTACTACTTCCTTGTCACCAAGTCCAATCAGTGTAATGCCTTAGAAGGAATCTTCCAACTTGATATTTTGTGTGATGTCAAGATGAACAAGATTTCTGTGGGCTATCTTATGACAAAGAGAGAAGATTTGACCTAGCCTTAAGGTAAGATAGAGTGTGTTGTCCCTGCAATGTGAAAACAAGCTGTTTCTGATTATCTTTGTTGATAGGAATTATTTGAAAAAGAAATCTAGTCAGTAGCTCTCTATCTTGTGCCAGGAGCTATGCTAATATGCTCTAGTAGAGATAATCTACAGCTAAAACTACTGTAGGTATTAGGATGTGATTAAGTCTGCAGAAGAACAATAGGACCATCTACACCATTCATTAGTCTAACAAGTAGTTTTCAATAGGTATATGGTATGAATCGCCACCCTAATATCTTTCAGTTTTCTGATGACATAACTAATAAGACAGTGTAGAAGCGCCCTTTCAATATGCTAAGACTTACGAAAGATTATCATGTTTTTCACTTCTTGAGGTTATTCTTCCCTTGTAAGATTCACTTTTTAATCTGCCCGTTTTTCAATTATAAAAACTATTATGTAATATAATCTTTTAATAAAGCTTCTTTTTTTAAAAAAATAATATCTGTAATTTATCTAGAGATGCATTATTTCTTTTAGTTTCTTTCCTTGGGAGAAGTAATAGGCCTATGCTTTCCCATATGGTAGCTTCCAGCCGTATGTGACTGTTAAGCACCTAAATGTGGCTAATGCCACATGTGGAAATATTTTTTATGAAATAAAATGTATTAAAATTAAGCCTACTTTTTAATGAGACTAGTAGAACATTTTAAATTTCATATGT